GGTTGTTTGCAAATCGCCGGCGCGAATGCTCTCATGATAATTCGTCAAGCCTCTCTCAGCTACTAGTGATACAACACAAGCCCTCGTACAGGTAGGTCCCTTTTTCTTCCCTTCAAAGGTAGAGCGTAGCCTCTGGCTCGTCCAGAGGCGGCGCACGTCTCCTGTCCAGACCCATCTCGCTCGATAGAAGCACCGCTGCTGCTGGAGGGGAGGAGTAATAAGAAAAAATCTACAAGCAAGATAAAATCAATGCGCAAAGAAGAAAAAAGAAACACGGACGCTGCCCAAGCAAACCCCTCGACGCCGTGTGATATCTCTAATAATTGTGACCAAGGCCCGTCCTCAGCTGGTTCGGTCTGTGCCAGACTATTTTTACCCCGTGTGACCCTGCTTGCGTCGGGTCCGTCAATGAACGGAAAATGAAGAGTGAAGAGGAATAAGCGGGCAGTAAAATGAGTAAGTGTTTTTGTTGTTTGGTGTAAATGACCCTCATCGCCCAGAAAAGGCACAGAATCCAAAGTAGGTGGCGGCGATGAAGTGAGAAAAGCAGGCTCCGCTGACAGCGGCGTACCTGTCGGTGGGCTTGGGGCAACGTGGCAAGGTGAGCTCAACAGTCGTAGAGCCGGCAGTTGGCAGTCGCCCTACACTTTCCGTGCTCGTTTGGCACTCTTGTTGACAGGGCTGACGAAAGTGACGTGTTTTGATTCCTCCTTCTTCAAGCGCACGGCTCCCGAAACGACACCGCTCGAAGTCCGGTGATGACGGAGGGATCGCGGCTCGCTGTCCTCATCGATGTTGATCTCAGCCACGTCCGATACAGACTCGGCGCCATCGCTGACATCACTCATGGAAGACCCATCATCGGAATCATCGTACTCTCCGTCGTCGCTAACGAGCGAAGGAGCATTGTTGCTGACCATGGTGTTGGGGCTCATGTCGGCATCCATATCGACGTCCTCATCCTGCAGCAGCAGCATCTTGCGGTCATCGTCCTTGTCAGACATGCTAGTCGGAGAGGCGAAGCCCATTTGAGGCAAGCGAGCCTTGCTTGCTGGGTTGGCCTTGTCAACGGACTCGTTGTGTCCAGGAAATCAAGACCATCTGTGCGGAATCTCGCATGACAGAGCTCCAAGCTGCCATAAAACTCTC